ATTCTGAATGATTTATAAGCCTTTTGAAATATGGGGACACTCAAAATGTCCTCATAAATCACCTTCTCCTTGTAATACCTGTCATACCCATGTCATTATACAAATTTGTGTCCTCATAAATCACAAAAATGCACGCGCACACACACACACACAAATAAATACATGTATACATAAAATTATTTTCAAAAATACATTCACAATATCATATTTCACAACTATTATTTACATATTTTTTTCTTTTTTTTTAAAGGCAATTATTACTGTTATATTGCTCAAATTTAGGGTTACAAATCTGAACAAACCCAAAGTATTAAACTTTGGCTAGTAATTCATTCCCAACTCTGTGTGCTACAACTGAACAATCCCTGAAATCCCGCGGCTTGTAGAGCGATGATATGCTATTGTTTATCTAAGTGACTGGACAATTTGGTGTAAAGCATGAACTTACATTGAAGGAGGGATGCAAGTCCTATAGAGACCAGAATATCTTTTTCTTCTTCTTCTTATTCAATAAGAAAACAAACAGGGTCAAATCTGATTTCATCTTGACTTTAATTGTAATTTGTTTAGTTCCCTGCGGTGAAATATGGCCATATCATTATGATGTCTGCTTATCTGTACACATTTGTGAAAATGTAAGATTTTGCATGGAATCATTTTTTTACTTTAATCTTGCTATAAGTTCATTATTAGTAACATGAAACAACAACAACAAAGAAAACTATGATATATTATCATAAAAGTAACTTATCATAGATGTACATGTTTGGGTGTTCAGGGTGGTTGTTAGGAGGTTGCTCATAAATTCTGATCAAAAGTGCTAATTTTCAAGTCTCTGTGGTATTCTGGTCTCGAGATTTAGTTAAGGTCTTTTTTTTTAACATGAAATCATATATTTGATCACTTGGAATGAACATTTGTTCTCAACAATTCTTTCTTTCTTTTTTTCTTTCTATTTCTAATTGCCAGTGTGTGAGTCTGAGGTTTCGTTTGGTGGTTGTGAATGTATTCAGGGCACAAATGCTTCTGTGTTTAGTCGTGAGGACCCAGAGATCAGGGCTCATAATATGGGACAGCGGTGAGGGATGGCCATGGGTGTGGGGTGTGTAAGGTTGGATATGCTCTCTCATCCTGAAGGTTGAAGAGAGCTCGTCACATACCACAGGACTGTGCAAATATTTCACAACACTGAGAGACAGCACATCAGCCTAAAAGAAGGTGTGCTAGATGTGGTGATAGATGGATGATATGTCAATGATTTCAGCTGAGATTGTGGAAAATGATAAACCAACACTTATATGCATAGAAACTAAGGGAGCTCGTTGTTATTCTTTTGCGGTCCCACATGTGCAGATGAAATGGTGAACCAACTATGGGGGTAGAATTGTTGCTTAATTCCAAATAAATAGATTATGATCCACAAATAAATAGAATGAGATCCACAAATAAATCTTAAAGTTTCACAAACATGAATTAAATTCACAAATAAATAAAATGAGATTTGCAAATAAAAAACATATTCACAAATATATATTTATGTCACAACCACAACTTTGCCTGGCATTTATTTGTGAATCGCGTCCTGTGCATTTGCGAATTGTGAAACATTTCTTGCGTCAAGATGTGCTGACAATCCACAAATACATGGACTCCACCCACCGTCTACTCAAGCCAATCAGATAACAGCCACATTCGCTGACCAATCGTAGCACGATCTCGCTATAGCCAATCCGCTTTGCTTTACAATCAGGGTGGTCTCGTCCTGAGATAACTTCATGCATCTGCATTGGCTCAAATAGGTCATATAAGGGCCATACAATGGGTACAGTAAAAGATGTTTAAAACTGGATTTCGTTAGACCATTAGATGAATGAAGTTATCTCAGGACGAGACCACCCTGATTGTAAAGCAAAGCGGATTGGCTATAGCGAGATCGTGCTACGATTGGTCAGTGAATGTGGCTGTTATCTGATTGGCTTGAGTAGACGGTGGGGGGAGTCCACGTATTTGTGGATTGTCAGCACGTCTTGACGCAAGAAATGTTTCACAATTCGCAAATGCACAGGACACGATTCACAAATGCGTGCAGCTATCTACAAATGAATAGGACGCGATTCACAAATGCGTGCAGCTATCTACAAATGAATAGGACGCGATTCACAAATGCGTGCAGCTATCTACAAATGCACAGGACGCGATTCACAAATGCGTGCAGCTATCTACAAATGCACAGGACGCGATTCACAAATGCGTGCAGCTATCTACAAATGCACAGGACGCGATTCACAAATGCGTGCAGCCAGCACATCTTGACGCAAAAAATGTTTCACAATTCGCAAATGCACAGGACGCGATTCACAAATGCGAGCAGCTATCTACAAATGCACAGGACGCGATTCACAAATAAATGCCAGGCAAAGTTGTGGTTGTGACATAAATATATATTTGTGAATATGTTTTTTATTTGCAAATCTCATTTTATTTATTTGTGAATTTAATTCATGTTTGTGAAACTTTAAGATTTATTTGTGGATCTCATTCTATTTATTTGTGGATCATAATCTATTTATTTGGAATTAAGCAACAATTCTACCCCCATAACCAACTTTTTTAGTGTGTTAGTTATCACATCAAAATACAGTAACTGTGCTTTTTTAAAGCATGACAAATGATTATTTAAAATGTGTTTTAAAGCAAAACTTGTAATATCCACATTGAAGTGGATTTTGTAAAAGTGCATGTAAGTGTGTTAAGAAGTGTCATGAAAGTTAAATCTAAGTACGCTTAAGTGCCAATTTTTAAGATTTCAAGTACACAAATGCACATTCAGTACAGTTAAATTTGCTTTTTTGAATGCACATACAGTTATTTTTAGAAATATAATTTTATCTACCATGTAGAATGTACAATGACATTAAGAAAAGACATACCACAACAAATCTCTCAGAATCAAAATATGTTGATGATGATGATATTCTGCTGTTAGTTTGGAATTATGTAAAGTGAAAAAATGTGAAAGGGAGAGAGTAATGTTCTCTCTTTCTGTGTTGCTCTTAGATTGATTCTGATGACGTCATCACCAGAGATGAACAGATCTTTCTTCTGATTGATGCACGGGCGAGGTGTGAGAGAAGCATCCGTGCACAGTTAGATGTGGTCAGAGGTATTCTAGTGTATTTCTGCTTGATATGTGCACTTAATTGTAAGTCTGCTTTGGTGAGAAATCAAATGTGCATGTAATTATTGTGTTAGTAAAGGACCATTATACAATGTCAGAATTGTCCAATTATGTGGCCTGTTGAGGAGAAGCATGCTATTATTTTTAAAACCAATCAGGCTTATGATTTTCACTTGACAGATGATAAAACAGGAGAAAAAAATCCCATATGACTCATATATGCTGATATCTACCCTGCCTACCGTATCTATCTAATTAAATTAAATGTTTAGTTCAGTATAATATAAAAACGTACTTGCGACAAATGGACAGCTATACTGAAGCTATCAGAAGATTGTATCTTCCTACCCCCACAGATCTAATTTCCTGAAGACAGCAGGATCTATGAGAATGGCAAATTAGACTGTAGCCCTGGTTATAGGAAGATTTTAAGATAAGGAACATTGATTTAAGCTCAGTTTCCATTGTTACTTGTAGTGATGAGTCACTTTATAGTAAGATACAGTATTGCCTAACTGTGTGATGAATGTGAATCCACTGCTGTTGGGTTTTTGAGAAAATATACAGTACTATATATTGGGTTACTATATGAGGAGATTAATTTGACTTGTCACCTTCAAACATTTTGTTGGAGGATACTTTGACTGCATAGATGTATTCCATGTTATACTTTTGGTAAAACATGATATTTGTGTGTATTCTCAGAGGATCACTGTGTTCCTGAATGGGATGGGATAATTTGCTGGCCCATGGGAAAGCTCGATCAGATGGTTGCAGTTCTGTGTCCCGAGTACATCTATGACTTCAACCACAAAGGTCTGTTAAACCCCTCTGAACTAAATAAAATTAAATCTGAAGTATGTAATTTCTCCAGTTTTGAGAAAATTAAAAGTCTTTTAACACTGAAAACTTACATACCCTTACAGAAAAGTATATTTAAAATTCATTTCACTAGGTAAACTTCAATAAAGCATACTTTATGAAGTAAGTACACTAAAATCAATGTACTAGTAGTATACTTGTAACTGTACAATTTCAGTAATTCTTGGGACTCAATGACCCTGCATTTTAGTTTATTTTAGTTCATACTTTTGAGTAAACAAGACATTTACACACTAGGTAACCGCTAGTTAACCACTAGATGCCACCTGGCAACTACACCGAAGGGGTGGGAGGGGGTGCCAGGACCCGTGGGTGAAATAAATTGAGGGACTGGCAGAGGAAGAGACCCTTGAGGAGCCGGTGGAGGAAGAGCCCACAGTGGAGTCGATGGAGGGAGGCCAGGGTGGAGACTTGGCAGTGAATCAAGGGGAACCAGGGGATTCATCGACCGAGGTGGAGCCAAGGAGATAAAGACCCAGGATGACACTGCTGGTCTGTAGGCCCATGGCGGAGCCACATGCTCATGGGACTGAAATGGAGCTGAAGTTTAAAGACCAAGGTGGAGCCGGTGGGAGAGAGCGAGCCAGAGGGAAGAGGTGCCCTGTAGAGCTAAAGGAGTAGAGAGCTGAGGCATAGCCGCAGACCCGAAAGTCTGTAGCAAAACCTGGGTGACGCCTCACCGAGGCGGAACCAGAGGGACAAGGGAGACCTGTGGAGCCAAAGCGATGACGGACCATGGTGGAGACAAGAGAGTGTGAAGCCAAGGCAGAGCGATGGGTTGACAGGCCATGGTATAGCCATGGGCTCGGAGGCCCGAGGTGGAGCCAGGGATTTCAAGCACCTAGGCTGAGCTGAGGGAGTGTTGAGGGTGTGAGTCTGTGGCTGGCGAATTGCAAACAAAGTCCTCCTCCACTTCATCCACGGTGAAAGGGGAACCACTCATAATGAGCACTTCCTTGACGAAAAACACAAAAAACAACAACCTTAATTTCCCTTGGGGACCATCAACAGGAAAAGTGATATTGGTTTTTAACTGTTCATTAAGTCCCGTATAATAAAATTAAATGCTGCTAGATACATCTAGTTTCTAGGACTGTTTTTCTGTCACAGTGAGAGCACAGCAAGTAGAGAAAATGTGGATCTAAATGCAGCTTTCTTCTTTATTGAAAGTACTTAAAGGGATAGTTCACCTTCAGTTGCTGGTCCCCATTGACTTTTTTTTCCATAATATGGAAGTCAATAGGGACCAGCAACTGAAGGTGAACTGTCCCTTTAAGTATAAATTTGTGAAGTATATATATGACTTGAATATATCCAGGACAGTAAACAAATTAAAAATCAAATCTAATACAGCAAGATGCTAGATGTTTCCATGTCCACTCATGAGTGTGTCTTAATGCATATATACATCCATAACCATGTGTATAGACGCAAACTTATGTTGATTGAGATATCTTTGCTATGATCTGATCAGACAGTCAGCAGGTATTCTGCTCTCTGAGGAATAAAGTAGGGAATAGTTGAGCCAGGGTTTTTGTAATTTACCCATGCAGAGCCAAAACATTGAATTTAGTCCACCACACTAGTAATTAATAATAATAATATTTAACTAGTAACAAGTAATTGTGAAATTATATATAAATATGTACTTAAGTCATACTTTAAGTGGGTCAATACACTCTTAAGTTCAACTAATTGCACTTAATGTAAATTTTAATTACAGAAATGGTCAGAAAACTTTATATTAAGTTCGCACTTAGTTATATTCTTTTAAAGCATATTATTTTCATTGTAAGTACTCTTTAAAAAAGTATGTACTAAAAAGTATGCCAACTTCTTTTTCACAAGTGATAGTTGTGTCCGAAATCTCAAAATTGCATAAGTACTACATTTGACTTCACAACAGTTAAAAAAGTATGTTCCATATATGTGTGGTGTATGAATGCAGTCCTGATGTACTACATCTGCGTTGTCTTGTGACCCATGAGACAATGAAATTAATCATTTTCCACAACTACTTCGAAGTCAATTTGATTATTTTCTCTTCTGTTTCTTTTTTTTTCTCTAGACGTCTCCATTGCACCCGTAACTACATCCACATCCACCTCTTCACCTCATTCATATTCCGAGCAATTAGTATATTTGTGAAAGACGCCGTTCTTTATACTGTCACAGAAGAGGGCAAACTAGAAGATGGGTCCATTGGACAAAGACCCTACATGGTACTCACAAAAACACATTTGCACATGAATACATAAATACTGTACATAAATAACACAAATTGTCTGCAGAGCCCAACAATAGTTTTATTGGTCGTGTGCTATCAGGTGGGCTGCAAGGTTGCTGTGACCCTCTTCCTGTATCTCTTGGCAACCAATCATTATTGGATTCTGGTGGAGGGTCTGTATTTGCATAGTCTGATCTTCATGGCCTTCCTGTCTGACAAAAACTGTCTGTGGGCTTTAACAATCATAGGCTGGGGTGAGTTGTCACTTTTAAGTTGAAGATAACATTTGAAAGTAATATTTGTTAAGCAATCCATTATGACCTTGAGGGTGAATAGTGTTTTCCTTTAACGTCCGGTTTCAGACTCTCTTGCTTCCTCTTTCATAGGAATACCCGCAGTGTTTGTATCCATATGGGTCAGTGCCCGGGTGTCTCTGGCAGACACACAGTAGGTTTACACACACAAACATATGGCACAGATGCATTCAGCACCTACATTCAAAGGTTTCTGTTAAACCTCGAAATGTTAACACCTCCCATTAGACCACACATTTTTCTTCCAAAAGGTTTAGGTTTTGTCACATAGTTTTTTAGCAAATTCCAGGCAAGACCTATTGTCGGCCTTTCTAAAAATAGTCACTGGCTGAACCTGTCACAAAACTGCACGGGGACACGAAGGCTGAGAATCCAAGTGCAGCAGTTTATTAGAGGAATAATCCACAATCGTAGTCAAAACAGGCTTGAGGACAAACACATCATAATCTGTGATGCTGTCTAAACTGGTGCGCCGCGACACGACAAATCCCCGACAGTAAACTGCTGCCTCATTCTACTTATGATGTACTGATAAAATTCTAATGATTTGCAAAGGTCGTTTTGTCGCGTCCAGTGTAGACAGACTTTAGCTGTTGCGGTGTGGCGTGACAACTGTCGCATCCTGTGTAGACACGGTGTTACAGCTGCAGATATGACACATGCAAGACTAATGAGCAACAGGTGAAAACAATCAGGCATGATGAGTCCAGGCAATGGATTATGGGATATGTAGTCCAGGATAGAATGGCAAAGGTATGGGATGGATGAAACGCAGCTTTATATTCCACTCAATCCAAGTGGTTCTAGTGTTTGTTAGTAGGGTCTACATTGTTTAGGCAAGATTAAAGGATTTGGTTGTCACACAAATAAGACTGAGTGTGTTGTTTTTAAATCACTATTTTACTAAACACTTGTGATCGACTTAAGAATTTTGGTAAGACTTTACAATAAGAAGTCATGGCCTAATGGTTAGAGAGTCAGACTCGTAACCCAAAGGTTGTGGGTTTGAGTCTCGTACCGGCAGGGATTGTAGGTGGGGGGAGTGAATGTTCAGCGTTCTCTCCCACCTTCAATACCATGACTGAGGTGCCCTTGAGCAAGGCACTGCACCCCCAACTGCTCACCGGGCGCCGCAGCTTAAATGGCTGCCCACTGCTCCGGGTGTGTGTTCACGGTGTGTGTGCACTTTGGATGGGGTAAATGCAGAGCACTAATTCCTAGTATGGGTCACCATACTTGGCCACATGTCATGTCACTTTCACAATAAGGTTTCATTAGTTAACTATATTAGTTAACATGAACAACACTTATACAGCATTTATTCATCTTAGTTGATGTTTAATACGTTATTTAAATTAAAAGTTGTATCTGTTAACATTAGTTAATGCACTGTGAACTAACATGAACATGTTTATTAACTAACATTGACAAAGGTTAATAAATGTTACCAGAATTTTATTATATTATTACATCTTTGTTGGATGCTGTCCAGGTGCAGCAAGATGAATGTGCAAACGGTAGCTCAGAAAACACATAAGGAGAAACATTGTGATAATAAAATATCCACCATCACAGACACTTGCATTTGGTCAGGATTAGATTTTTCAAAAGAACACTGAGTTTGCTGAAAAACAGTTGGCAATTTGCTCTGGATTTTTGTTTTACACTGTGTCACTTTAGAGAAGTAAAATAGTTTCCCAGTGTTAAAAAAAGGTGTGAATACTACAGTGGTGAAAAGAAAAATCACAATTTAATATTCATGCCACCTGCAACACAGTGAAACCTATTGATGATTGTGAATACTTTCTAAAGTGCTGAAGGCTGGATTTCTTCATCTCTAGGTGCTGGGATATAAGCGCAGGCAATCTGAAATGGATCTATCAAGTACCAATCCTGGCTGCCATTGTTGTAAGAATTTTTTTCTCCAATAAATTATAATAATAATTCAGATGTTTAAATTCAGTATGCCATATGCAGTAACAAAAATCTGTACTTTATAAAATGCAAAATATGTTATCCATATTTTACAAATACTAAACATTTCCTATCAGTAAATACCCACCTGAAAATTCACTTATTTTTTGTGTTTTACTTATCTAGGTAAACTTCTTCCTCTTCCTCAATATCATCAGGGTTTTGGCCTCTAAGTTGTGGGAAACAAACACAGGAAAACTGGACCCTAGACAGCAGTACAGGTTATAAATTACTACACACACACACACAGGTTTGTTTTTGTGAAAAGTGGGGACATCCCATAGGCGTAATGGTTTTTATACTGTACAGACCATATATTCTATTGCCCTACACCAACCCTACCCCTAAACCTACCCCTTACAGGAAACTTTGTGCTATTTCAGATTTTCAATACACTCCATTCTGTGTGATTCATAAGCGTTTTGAAAAGTGGGGACATGGGGTAATGTCCTGAAAAGTCACCCTCTCCTTGTAATACCTATGTCATTATACAAATTTATGTCCTCATTTGTCACAAAAATGTGCACGCACACACACACACACACACACACGCGTGATTTGCAGTGATTTGTTTGCTGTGGCCTGTATAGGAAGCTGCTGAAGTCAACCCTGGTGCTGATGCCGCTGTTTGGAGTTCATTACATGCTGTTTATGGCTCTTCCATACACTGATGTCACAGGTCTGCTGTGGCAGATTCAGATGCATTATGAGATGCTCTTCAACTCTTCACAGGTATATTCCAGTAAAAAAAAAATCACATCTAGCCAGCAAGCATATGAAGGAAATTACATTGGGATTCAACTGCTAAAAATAGAATAGTCTTTGTTCACAGTGACAATAATTTACACTTACAGTGACAAGACAAACGGAATTATAAATTTTCAATGAGAATTTGTGATTTGAGATGACAGGATAACACTTTACACAAAGGTCCCATTAGTTAATGCATTTACTAACATTAACTAAAAATGAACAACACATTTGTTACAGTACTTATTACGGTACACTTTTTTTTAAAGATTAAATAAATATTAGAATACATATTAGATTAAGATTAGTTTGAGATTAAATACAGATATTAATTGTTACTATAATTCATGCTAACTCAGATCCATTAAATAATCTTAACAGATACAACGTTCACCATACAAATAACTTGTCTCTGGAAATTTTCATGTTACTTTAATTTGGTTAGGACACATGAAATATCATGGTTGTTGCCCTGAAAAAGTGTGTGCTTTTCCTTTATGGTGAATTTCATTTCCACAGGGTTTCTTTGTGGCGTTTATTTACTGCTTTTGCAATGGGGAGGTGAGTGTTTGACACTTTAGATTAATATATGAGTGTGCTTACTGTATTTACCTAAAGTATGGCTCTAATTGGTGTGAACTTGAACAATTCAATAAGCTTTCATATCTATTGAAATGTGCATGTTTAAAGTGCAGAGTGTAATTTCTGAAGTAATGTAATTGTAAGAATAATGACTTTAGCTAATGTTGCTGTTTTGACTCAAGCAAACGGTACAATGTTTTGATAGCCCCAAAGTATTTACAGTTTTTGGTAGAATCAACCTACAAAAGGTTTATATTTGTCTTATTTGTCTCTGCATATTCAAAGGCATGGCTCACTTAAAAATTTAAAGGCATAGTTCACCCAGAAATGAAAGCTCCGTCATTAATTACTCACCCTCATGTCGTTCCATACCCGTAAGACCTCCGTTTATCTTCAGAACACATATTAAGATATTTTTGATGAAATCCGAGAGCTCTCTGACCCTCCATAGACAGCAAGGGAACTACCACGTTCGAGGCCCAGAAAGGCAGTAAGGACATAGGTAAAATATACATGTGACATCAAGGGTTCAACCTTAATTTTATGAAGCTACGAGAATACTTTTTGTGCACAAAGAAAACAAAAATAACGAATTTATTCAACAGTTCCCTTGCTGTCTATATCTTAATATGTGTTCTGAAGATGAACGAAGGTCTTACGTGTTTGAACGACATGAGGGTGAGTAATTAATGACAGAATTTTCATTTTTGAGTGAACTATCCATTTAAATTCTGTCATCTTTTACTCAAACTTTTCATTCTGAGTTTTTGTCCTTGTGACTATTGCTTAAAATTCTTTCACACAATTTGGACTGACATAAGGGTGAATACAGGAATTTCATTTCGGAGTGAACTACCCACCTTATTTTGAAACGCGAAAGAAGCTATTCAGTGAGTGTGCAAGACTTCTGATTCATTAGCCGCAACAATAGGTAAATGACACGGAGAATAAAAAGTGCTGTAAACAGTAAACTATTTGTGCTACAAATCAGTGTTTATTAATTACAATAATACAGTACACACATTCAAGTTACAAATAGCCATGTCCGTTCTTAAAGGGGTCATATGATGTTGCTAAAAAGAACATTATTTTGTGTAATTGGTGTAATAAAATGTGTTTATGCGGTTTAAGGTTCAAAAAACACATTATTTTCCACATACTGTACATTATTGTTTCTCCTCTATGCCCCGCCTTTCTGGAACGCGTCGATTTTTACAAAGCTCATCGGTCTGAAAAGCGAGGTGTGCTCTGATTGGTCAGCTATCCAGTGCGTTGTGATTGGCTGAATACCTCAAGCGTGAGACGGAAATGTAACGCCCCTTGCCATACTGTGATGCCTTGTCCCGGCCGGAGCAATGAGACAAAAACATTAAAACCCATTATAAACGAGGCATTTGTTGCATCCAGTGGGGACATAATTACAGATTATAATGACTTCTATGGTTGCATCACGCCACGTAAACATAAAACCATGTCTGCATTTGTGATCGGAGAAATAACAAACAACAAGTGCTACTCTACACTGCTCAAAACTCGCGTTTGAATCGTCAGTGGCAAATTCTTTATATATAAATAACGTACTTACAGTCTGTGAGTCAGAACAGCCGGCATTGTCGTCTACTCTACCAGGATCAGGAAACAGTCCTCCATAAAATGTGCTGCACACATCTCAATATTTGGGTTGAAGTGTTCTGGAACAGTGTTGTAAATACAACTTAACCACTGATTTCTAGTCGTGTCCTCTTTTGGAAGGCCAAACAAAGTAGTTTCGCTTTCACAACGAAGCACACAGCGCCTTCACGACATGCTGGCGGCGGCAACAATACTACAGTGAGAATAAAAGTTACGCCTTTTTTCTGCATAAATAGCGTGAGTAGTGAGTTCACACTGAAAATCTCAAGAAAAAGTGCACTTCAAATGATAGATACACTGATGTGCACTCAGTCTAGGTTTTTTTTTCTCTAGTAGCTATTCCATCCACATTTGCATTTAGCCTAAATATAGGCTACTGTAAGACTGGAAATGTATTTTCTTGCCCCTGAAATACATTTTATAATATATTTTGGTAAATGAAGGTTAAAACTAAATGTATTTTCAATTTCAAAATTTAGCATATATTTAAAATATATATTTGTGCTGTATGGGTATTACGTACTGGAGGGGGAGGGGCTATGAGACTCCAATGCTGCATGACAGAATAACCTTCATACACTAGATAGTACATAGTATAAGTGGTATTCATTCGGGACACAACTCATTTCTTTAAACTGGAATAGGAGATTGTATTTTAACACAGAAGAAACCATTTACATCGCCTTTAAATGTGTGTGTGACAGTCACTTAGCCCCTTTTCTCTGTCTCTCTCTTTCTTTTTATATCTCTCCATGATGAACAGGTGCAGGCAGAGGTTAAGAAGGCATGGCTGAGGCGCAGTCTTGCATTAGACCTGAAGCAGAAGGCTCGTGTCAACAGCAGTGCGGGATGTGGGAGTGGCTATTACGGAGGCATGATGTCACACACCACCACACAGAGCGTGTGCCTCAGTGTCAGTGGCACTAAAGGCCTTCCTCTGGGGACCATGGGTGCCAAAGGACAATCACGTCTCCACCATTCAGGAAACTTACCTGGGTATGCGCCTCACGACACAGAGGCTGTGTTTTTTACAGTGCGGCAGCATGAACTGGCTCTGAGGCAGAATGATGGGAAAAAGTCTCCATGCAAGCAGACCAGCAGGAATGCAGAGGAAAGTGAGCACGATTTTGAGCCATATTTTGTAGCAGATGATGAACATTCTGGTTCCATGTCTTGGAAAGAACTGGAAACAATGCTTTGATGGTCTTCTGGCTGAACATTAGTGGTGCTTACTATGTTTAGAAGCCCTTAGTATTAAATAGTCTATATTAATACAAGTTAAGCTCAGTCGACAGCACTTGTGGCATGGTGACCACAGGTATAAATTTCAACTCAGTTCTCATTTCCTTAAAAAAAATAAAATAAATAAAAATAATGTAAATGTAGATGTTGAAATACTCACTGTTTCAACAGTATAGTCACATGTTGTAAACAATGTTAACATGAATTTAGTGTGAAAAATCACTTACTAACCTGTTTTTGTGTAAAATTATATTCAGTTTCACAACTTCGTTGCCACGACAATGGAACACCATAAACTCATAGACCCTAAAATAAAATTAAAAAATGGCTGTAAAAATGTTTTTAAAAATGTTCAGCTCAAATAATACATTTTAACAGAAGAATTAATGTGAGTATAAAATAAAATAGCTAAATTAACTTATAAATAAATGTATAAAATTGAAATCCTCCAAAAATTGGCCTCATTCACTTCCACTGTAAGTGACTCACCGTAACTTTGATTTTGCTTTCATTTATTTATTTATTAATTTTTTTTAAAGAAAATGATAAATGAATCTAAATTAATTTATGGTACATTATGCCACGAAGACTGATTTTCGCTTGCCAGCCTATTAAACAAACAAACAAGCAAATAAAAATCCCATGGATTTACATTCAAGAAAGACCTCATCTAGAGACTTCATGTGCAATTTTGACCTGGGCCAATAAGCAACCATCTAACAACGTCCTAGCAACCACCCTGAACACCATACTAACTGCATAGCAGCATGCTGAAAACATTTAGAAACATTTTAGAAAACACTGTAGCAACCAACCCCAGCACACTAACATTGTGGCGGTGAGTTTCTAAAGCACAATGCTGAGTTTTTAATATTGTAATTATGGATGCCTGAAGCTAAAATATCAAGCAAATATATTTGTCTGTCATGCATACTGTGCATACAATATAGAGAAAAAATGACTTATGTCACTGGATTTGACTGGACATCAGTGGACAGGATGTTCTCCTCCTGATACTTTCTTTAGTTGAAAGGTTTGTACATAACTTAAAAGTGTGGATTTAAAGGTGCACAATGGATCATTTAAGTACTTCTTTTTAGTTCCTGTGCCATTCCTTTGTAGGTCTGAACATGCAGCCTTTAGTAACTAAGTCAGGTAATGTAGGCCACTAGAAAATAGCATGATAAACTTTCACATTTGAAATGATCTATAAAAATGAATGCTTAATATCAGTCACCTCTCTTTATCGTTTCAAATATTTTAGTTAATGTTCTTTAAGAATCTCAAAATAATGTCCTGCATTAAAAACCTGCAGTAAGACAGTCCATGTTGTGCCTACCAGATAGCAGGCAGCATAAACTGAAAAGAATCTCTTCAAATCTCTGCTCAAGCCATCATGATTATATGATGCTTACTTTAATCTGCATTTGGAATATTTGGAGCTCTAATTTCGGAGAGATTATCTTTTGCACAGCTAAATGCATTATTAACCAAACTCATAAGATCATTATGGTTATAATGATATTTTGTGATTTTATATTTAGAAATCCACCTGCTGACTGACAAAAAAAAAATGGATCATGTGGTGTTTTGTGTAAAATCATTATTTTAGATGTGTGTTGAATAGAATCTGGACTGTCTGTAACAGGTTTAATACTTATTTTAATTCTTTATTAAATGTTTATGTCACTGGAATATGTACTTCATTAATGGCAGTCATTATAATGTTAATGATGAACACGGTAAACAGTTTCACCAGGACACAAGGAAACCAGCACTTACATTAACTACTCTACCCATGCAAATCAGTGACAAAATAATGTCCACAGTGTACGTGGAGATATTACTTTTCCTAAAATGTTTTAAAGTAAGGTTTTTAAAAATGGACATGAAAGAATGCATGTTTTGTGTTTGATTGGCAGACATTTTTACTTCTATCCCAATTCAAAACAAACATTTTGTCCTTTTATTATTTTATATTTTTGTCCTTTCCCTCATAGTCTTTCTTCTGCTCTAAAACTATATATTTCACATTCTTTCAGCACTCTGCCCTAGATGCCCTCTCACTGCAGTCAGGAATTTCACAGAAGAGCTTCAGGTCTAAACCTAGCCCAGGACATAGACAGTCTCGGCCTGCTTCACATACAAATGTGCAAGCACATCAAACTTGTCGACCATGCATTGTTTGTTATATTTTTACCATTATGAATCTGCCATACACATCCAGTGAACAATCACTGACATCTTTTCATATTTACATTTCACAGTGCAAGAAAATAAGAGTAGTGTGGGATGCATGTTTTAGCAATTCGAATGATGCTGACAAGAGGACCTCTAGTGGATATATGGGTAACTGCATCTCAATCAAGTTTTTGGTATGGTAAACACGTGAGCTATGCATTAGTCTTAAAAGAAATAGCTCACTCAAAAATGAAAATTTGCTGGAAATGTAATCACTCTTAGGCCATAATATAGATGAGTTTGTTTCCTCATTTAAACATATTTTGACAAATTTATTATAACATCACTTGCTCACCAATGGATCTTCTGCAGTGAATGGGTGCCGTGAGAATGAGAGTCCGACCAGCTGATGAAAACATAATAAAAATCCACATTCACACAACTCCAGTCCAAGTTATGTATTGTGAATCGAAAAGCTGTGTGTTTGTAATAAAGAAATCTATTATGAAGGTGTTTCAACATTTTTAACCATTGCTTCTGGCCAAAATACCAGCTATAATACATAATAAAGCTTCTCTGTTAGTCCTCAAACTGTTGATTTCTTGATTTCTTGTTGGTTTTTGCTTGTAAACAGTGCTTGATATCTCTCCCGATTCAGACTAGATGACTTTTTCACTGGACAAAGCAATATTATGGATAGAGAACTCATGTTTTAGAAGAGTTTGAAGTTAAACTCTTAAAGTATAAACTAATATATATATATATATACATATATATATATATAAAGTATATTCATGATGGAATTGTTTCTTACAAACACACAGCTTTTCGTTTCACAAGATGTTAATTGATGGACTGGAGTCATGTGGATTACTTGTGGATTGATGATTCTTTATCAGCTGTTTGGACTCTCATTTTGACGGCACCCATTCACTGCAAACAATTCAGTTGGTGAGAAAGTGATGTAATGCTCAATTTCTCCAGATCTGTTCTGATGAAGAAAGAAACTCATCTACATCTTGGACGGCCCGAGGGTCAGTAAATTTTAAGCAAATGTAAATTTTTTGGGGGGTAAATTATTCCTGTAAATACGCATAAAAATAGTCAGACAACCTCTGTAGTCCAATTTGGCCACTTAGTGTCTCACAAGTAAAAGTTTAAAAAAACACAAATACTCTTGTATTTTATATTGTAGAATAAAATGTGAAAATATCTTGAGCTTGTGTGAACCACAGACCTTATTTTAGGCATTTAACTAAAAACAATAACTTAAAGGAACACTCCACTATTTTTGAAAATAGGCTAATTTTCCAAACAGTTGAGTTTTACCGTTTTCGAATCCATTCGGCCGATCTCCGGGTCTGGAGGTAGCACTTTTAGCGTAGCTTAGCATAGATCATTGAATCTGATTAGACCGTTAGCATCACGCTCAAAAATGACCAAAGAGTTTCTATATTATTCTATATTTTATTGGTGCAATGATATTACACAGCGCCTGAAAATAGGCTTATTTGAAGTTACCTAGCTGGGACTATTTTCAGGCACTGCGTAATATCATTGCGCCTGCTGCACCCATAGTACGGCAGAAAAGTTCCTTGATTATTACGCCGGAATGAGAGTATAGTTCCTAGCCATATTGGCCTAATCGCAGCTTTTTATTTTCCGTCGGTCTTAGTACACGGTGTAACTACAGAAGAGTCAAGTTTTAAATAGGAAAAATATAGAAACTCTTTGGTAATTTTTGAGTGAGATGCTAACGGTCTAATCAGATTCAATGATCTATGCTAAGCTAAGCTAAAAGTGCTGCCGCCAGACCCGGAGATGGACTGAATGGATTCGAAAACGGTAAAACTCAACTGTTTAACTCTAGGTGAGTTGGAAAATGAACAAAAATAGTGGAGTGTTGACGATGTAAGTGCTAAAATGCTAACTCGTTCGGGGTTTTGGCCTACAAAAATAAGTCATCCACACAGCAAGAGCCGAGATTACAAGCATGGTAGTATCTCCCACCTTCTATGACTCAGGGCGTTATAAATTTTATCCTAACATCAACAGGATCTTGCTCAACTTAAAAATTGGCGAACAATAAGTCTGTTAAATAACGATTACAAAATATTAGCCATGATTTTTGCTAAAAGACTTAACAAAACTAGGATTTCTTTGCCTGCTTGTGTAAGCTTTTGGAATAACAAATGTAATGATATATTATGGGAAGATTTCTGGCTTCTTCTGTGATATTTTTTTTCTGTCTAATAATGTTGTTAAAGTTTCTATTAAAATTATTCACAATTGCTACCTAGTTAATTATAAAGTTGCTCAATTTAATAATAGCTCCTTTTGTCATCAGTTTGTAGAGACAATTAATCATTTATTTTGGGACTCTGTGTATGGTAACATATTTTGGGTTGACTTTTCAAACTTTGTCAAAAGATATCTATCTTCAAACTTCTGTATAAACCAAAAAAATTGTCTTTTTTTGGTGACTCTTTGGATCTAGACCCACCCAGTTAGTGCTAAATTCATTACTTTTTCTTGCTAAATTTTATATTCACAAGTGCAACTTTTCCAAGAAAACTGCTACTTTTTCATTCTTAAGAAAGATCTTGATATATATTTCATTTCTTTGAAGAACTCTAAAAATTGCATGCAAGACTCTGTTAGGGTGTAATTTTTGTTAATGTCTGTGTATTATAACCCTCATTATTGTTTATTTTTGTTCATTAATGTTTGTTATGTCTTTGTTATTGTTGCATAATAAAATAAATAAATAAAAAAACAAGCATGGTAGTAGCTAAAACCTCTTGAAGGCCTCTAGCGGCTGCTTTGGTTCACTGCGTCCCCGCGGCATTGGAAAGGTCTGCGCGTCCTTCATGCGCATCCCAGCCTTGTAGTGGGACCCACCTGCAATAACCTTTCCACTTAATTATGTCTTATGCATTCGATCTCATTGTTGTTTCATATGAAGCGCTTCGTCTGTAAAATTAGTGTGAATCATCCTAAAATGATTTTGCTGATCCGGGAATGCTGAGATCATGATGAGGTCAGTATAGAGGAGGGGTGCAGACGGTCTCTCAAGGAGAAAGCCTCTGTTCTTCTGCACTGTAATAGTGGAGACAGGCGTCTTCACCTGCCATGCCTCGTCTCTGAAAGCGGTTGTGTGTGTATCTGTGGCGTAAGGGAGGGGTCCAGTGGGATGGAGCAGAGTTGCATGCAGTCCGCGATGGCTATGGGTGCACAGTCCAAGAAAGGCTTCTCCAGGAGTATCACCGTGGAGAGGAAAAACCTCATCACAGTTTGTAGGTGAGTGAGAAGCTTTCAGGAGCCACCTATGTATGTATGCTGCAATATTTATGGCCTTCAGTGGAGTCATAAACAGGGATGCGTCCGAAAATATGTATTTTTCTGCTTCATTTGTTAATTTAACTGTTTGCTGAAATCAAATGTGACGTTTTCACCGTCCTCTTAAAGAAATCTGCGGATTTGGAGGTCTTTGACCGACACACATCGTAAGGTCTGGATTGCTAAAGATCTTCGGCTAACTTTGGTTTACTTCGCAATGTGAGTCTATAAGCTAATTATTAAGGGTGTTTTATCAAATTATTTTTGAAACCGGACATCGCACGCAATGTGATTTATCTCTGTTCCCCGGATGATGTGGTTGCTATGACGACAACCGTCCTCCCGCAAGGGCAGCAGGGCTGACGGGGGCCGCTGGGAATCTGCCGTGCTGTACAGAGAATAGGGATCACACTCACAATGATCCAAAAATCAAATTAATACTTAATTCTAAAAAATATTGATGGTTTTGGATTCCCTAATATTTAATAATTTAAAAAAATAGTTTTTTTACATTGTACTTATATTTAAAGGGGTCATATGATGTTTTTTTAAAGATCATTATTTTGTTGTATTTGGTGTATGAAGAGCTAACCATGAGTGACCTTTCCAACGTGATTACATAATGCCTGAAGTCGAGCTTGTGCAAGATGTGCATTTGTGACTAAAAAGTATATACATTTTTATTATTATTTTTTTTAGAAAATGACCGATCGTTTAGCTAGAGAAGACACTTATTCCTCGGCTGGGATCTTGTAGAGTCCTTTGAAGCTGCATTGAATCTGCAATTTGGACCTTCAACCCGTTGGCCACCATTGAAGTCCATAATATGGAGAAAAATCCTGGAATGTTTTCCTCAAAAACCTTAATGTCTTTGCGACTGAAGACAGAAAGACATGAACATCTTGGAAGACATGAGGGTGAGTAAATGATCAGGAAACAGTTATTCTGGAAGTGAACTAATCCTTTAATTAAATACAATTATGTTTAGAAGTCACCTTGTAATTGTAACAATTGCATGTTTAGGTTAAGTAACTCTTGAATGGTCTATGAAATGTATTCCCTCTTTTTACTTCATTTTTTCCAATATTAGGTGCTCCATAACTCAGGATAAAAGCAGGTGGAGCTACCTTTCAAAAATGTGATACATCACATAACGCAGATTTGATTCTAAAAAGCCCCATTTAATATATTTGGCCTAAAAATATTCATAGCAAGAAAGCAGGTGACATTCGGTATTATGTTAACAACATGACAAAATATGCATGTTGTACATACAGTAGAACTCATACATAATACATTATGTACTTTAATGTATGTCACTCAGTTGGAAGCAGTTGTATTCATGAGCTTTCTATAGATGAAGTAAGTACAATAAGTAGTTAAGTAGAAAATGGTTTAGTCATTTATCAGAAAGATTCATTTAGTGCATTGATCCACAAAGTTCAACGGAACACATGCATCAGACCATCACTGGGTATTACCTCACCATTGCTTCTTGCTACAGGCTGTTAACTTAGTGTAGACTTAGTGTATTACTAATTTCAAAGATTTTGTGTCTTATCTTTGTATCTGAATTATTTTTTTTTTGGTTAAATAAACAATGAATTAGTATGGACAAATATAAATAAATTTTCTTTTGATATAGATTGTGGTAATGCTTTACCTATAGATTACCTTGTGAACCCGATCTTTTTATAATTATCCCTTGTGAAAAGGAAGTGCACTTGATTGTATTGACTGTGCACTTGTAGTGTACTTGCAGATCATAATAATAAATGGGCACTTAAATGTACTTTAAAGAGAATATGTTTTCAAGATCATGTTTTTAGCACACTTAATGAAAGTACACTTTGAAATAGTTCACTTTGTAATAATGTCAAATTAAAAGTTTTAATTTAAAAGTAAATTTAAATAATGTTTTAATAATCGTTTATGCTTTAAAGGGTGCAATTTCAATTTTTCCTTTCTCTTTGGAGTGTTACAAGCTCTTGGTGCATAAAGAAGATCTGTAAAGTTGCAAAGACTAAAGTCTCAAATCCAAAGAGATATTCTTTATAAAAGTTAAGAGTCAACCACGCCTACCTAAAACGGCTCGTTCTAACACGCCCCCACATGTCTACGTCACTGTGTGGGAAGATTTGCATAACGCCGCCCAAATGTTCACGCAAAGAAAGAAGGCGTAACTTTTATTCTCGCTGTAGTATTGTTGCTGCCGCCATGTCGTAAAGGCGCTGTGTGTTTCGTTGTGAAAGCGAAACTACTTTGTTTGGCCTTCCAAAAGAGGACGATATCTGCTTCGTCATGCCTTCACCATGGACGAAGCGGAGTCCAGCCCGGGGTCGTCACATGTAGTTGCTGCAAGCCCGCCCGCCATGCCGTTCTCAAGCCCACTGGCCACCGCTCACTCAAGCTGGCCTCTGCTCACTCTAGCCCCCCGTGTGTGACGCTGTGTTTTGTTGTGAAAGCGAAACTACTTTGTTTGGTCTTCCAAAAGAGGACAATATCCGCTTCGTCATGCCTAGAGCTGATCGGCCGGACACAGGGCATCACAATATGGCAAGGGGCGTAACATTTCCATCACAAGCTTGAGGTATTCGGCCAATCACAATGCACTGGATAGCTGACCAATCAGAGCACACCTAGCTTTTCAGACCGATGAGCTTTGTAAAAATCGACGTGTTTCAGAAAGGCGGGGCATAGAGGAGAAACAGTATGTACAATAATGTACAGTATGTGGAAAAGAATGTTTTTTAACCTTATACCGCATAAACACATTTTATTACACTAAATACACAAAATAATGTTCTTTTTAGCAACATCATATGACCCCTTTAAATATATACATTTATTTTCATGTGTTGACTAACATACTAATGATTGTCATGAATCTGGCCTCTGTGGTTCTCCCCAATCGGCATCAGAGGGCACCCTCACCTGAGTACTAACTCTTCCCCCGGACTTCAGACACAGACACAGACACAGGCACAGGCACACGCACACGCACACGCACACACACACACACACACACACACACACACACACACACACACACAGAGATACACACCCTCTCACATCACGATGGCTGACATTACTGAGCATTTCACTGTACTACTCTATTGGATATGTGTTTGACCTTGGACTGTTACCTGTTTCACGATTGTTTGCTGCCTGCCTCGACCTCTTTGCTCTGATGTTTTGACTTTCGTTTGTATTGTTTGCTGCCTGCCCCGACCCTCTGCCTGTTCTCTGACTCTGCTTTGGTCTTGTCTCTGATAACCCTGTCTACTGGTGATTTACCCTGCCTGTATTGCTACACTTCCTTTTTAATAAAGCTGCACATGAATCCTCACTCATTGACCCCTCATTATAATTATGTTATTATGTTATAATGTTATTTGATAGTACTTTTAAAATGAACCTTCATGTCTACGTCACTATGTGGGAAGATTTGCATAACGCCGCCCAAATGTTCATGCAAAGAAAGAAGGCGTAACTTTTATTCTCACTGAAGTATTGTAGCTGCCGCCCTCTGCCTGTTCTCTGACTCTGCTTTGGTCTCGTCTCTGATAACCCTGTCTACTGGTGATTTACCCTGCCTGTATTGCTACTCTATCTTTTTAATAAAGCTGCACATGGATCCTCACTCGTTGACCCCTCATTATAATGATGTTATTATGTTATAATGTTATTTGATAGTACATTTCAAATTAATATATTTAATAAATATAATATTAATTAATACAGTATATATATATTAATATATACTAAATACAACTTCATCAGTACAAATGTGTATTTACAAATATATTTAAATGGATGACAGTCAAGTTTCCATAAAAATGACATTAAACACAACAGAACACTTTAACTATATTTCAAAGACAATAGAAATAATTGTGAAGTTACATGTGAAGATATGCTTAAATTCTGATTAATTGGGTTAAAAACACACTTAAGTTCAACCAATATGATGTAATATATATTTACTATAAACATTTAAATTTAATTGTAAATAACATGTAATTAAGTGTCTGAAAACATTACATTCAGTTCCCACTTGAGTATAAAGTCTTTCTGAAAGTATGCTAAAGTGTGCTTATTTTTCTCTTGGGATTTCAATTATGGTCCACAATACAGACAACACAGAGTTAAACTTAATGAAATAAGAAAGACAATGTCTTGGATACAGATGAAATCAACCAGAAAAACAAACCCACATGGTATCAGTGGTGTACTGTAGGTCTTAAAATAAAATGGAAACCAGGTCATTTTTTCCCATATTGAAGTACACTGTATTGTTTGTGTTTGAATGGCAGGTTTTCGGTGAAGACACTGCTAGAGAAGTACACAGCAGAGCCCATCGATGACTCGTCAGAGGAGTTCATTAACTTCGCTGCTATTCTGGAACACATCCTCAGCCACCGCTTTAAAGGTAAGAATGCATATCACTAGTATACTTACACTAGACACACACACACACACACACACAGAGACACACACACTCTCACATTACGAAGTCTTGTTTTGCCCCGGCTGACATTACTGAGCATTTCACTGTACTACTCTATTGGATATGTGTTTGACCTTGGACTGTTACCTGTTTCACGATTGTTTGCTGCCTGCCTCGACCTCTTTGCTCTGATGTTTTGACTTTCGTTTGTATTGTTTGCTGCCTGCCCCGACCCTCTGCCTGTTCTCTGACTCTGCTTTGGTCTTGTCTCTGATAACCCTGTCTACTGGTGATTTACCCTGCCTGTATTGCTACACTTCCTTTTTAATAAAGCTGCACATGAATCCTCACTCATTGACCCCTCATTATAATTATGTTATTATGTTATAATGTTATTTGATAGTACTTTTAAAATGAACCTTCATGTCTACGTCACTATGTGGGAAGATTTGCATAACGCCGCCCAAATGTTCATGCAAAGAAAGAAGGCGTAACTTTTATTCTCACTGAAGTATTGTAGCTGCCGCCCTCTGCCTGTTCTCTGACTCTGCTTTGGTCTCGTCTCTGATAACCCTGTCTACTGGTGATTTACCCTGCCTGTATTGCTACTCTATCTTTTTAATAAAGCTGCACATGGATCCTCACTCGTTGACCCCTCATTATAATGATGTTATTATGTTATAATGTTATTTGATAGTACATTTCAAATTAATATATTTAATAAATATAATATTAATTAATACAGTATATATATATTAATATATACTAAATACAACTTCATCAGTACAAATGTGTATTTACAAATATATTTAAATGGATGACAGTCAAGTTTCCATAAAAATGACATTAAACACAACAGAACACTTTAACTATATTTCAAAGACAATAGAAATAATTGTGAAGTTACATGTGAAGATATGCTTAAATTCTGATTAATTGGGTTAAAAACACACTTAAGTTCAACCAATATGATGTAATATATATTTACTATAAACATTTAAATTTAATTGTAAATAACATGTAATTAAGTGTCTGAAAACATTACATTCAGTTCCCACTTGAGTATAAAGTCTTTCTGAAAGTATGCTAAAGTGTGCTTATTTTTCTCTTGGGATTTCAATTATGGTCCACAATACAGACAACACAGAGTTAAACTTAATGAAATAAGAAAGACAATGTCTTGGATACAGATGAAATCAACCAGAAAAACAAACCCACATGGTATCAGTGGTGTACTGTAGGTCTTAAAATAAAATGGAAACCAGGTCATTTTTTCCCATATTGAAGTACACTGTATTGTTTGTGTTTGAATGGCAGGTTTTCGGTGAAGACACTGCTAGAGAAGTACACAGCAGAGCCCATCGATGACTCGTCAGAGGAGTTCATTAACTTCGCTGCTATTCTGGAACACATCCTCAGCCACCGCTTTAAAGGTAAGAATGCATATCACTAGTATACTTACACTAGCTGTAGACTTTTACTCTATAAGAACATTAAGGACATACAGTATTTAAGCCAGTGATGCAAATGCAGGTGATCTCTCACATTATGTCTTTTGCAGGCTCTGGCAGCTGGTTTGATGGTCAGCGTAGTTTTTGGGACTTCATCCGTCTGGCCTGCAGTAAAGTGCCCAATAACTGCATAAGCAGCATTGAGAACATGGAGAACATCAACTCCTCACGAGCAAAGGTGGGCACACAAATCTTTACTTAAAATAGATAAAGTAGAATGAGTAATGCCATAATCATTAATGCTTGAATTGAATACACAAACAAAGAATCCACTGTACTTCTTTTGTGCCACAGTTATGGTAAGATAGAAGTACATTGGAGTTCATTAAGTAAGGTGCGTACTTAAATAGATAGTTCACTCAAAAATGAAAATTCTTTCTTCATTTACATGTTCTTCTAAATCTGTATGACTTTCTTTTTTTCTGTGCAACATAAAAGGAGATATTTTGAGAAATGTCTCAATGTTTTTTTTTTGTCCATATATTTGAAGTCAGCATTGCAAAAACATAGGTTACCAACTTTCTTCAAAATATCCTTTTTTTAAAATATCTTTCATATCTTTTTTGTTTCACAGAAGAAAGAAAGTCATACAGGTTTAGAATGACATGAAGGTGAATAAATATGAATGAACTATTTTTGGATGAAATAATCTTTGTATTGAGATAAAAGAGCATGATGTACATACAAAAACATAATGTAACTTGCAGAACTTCAAACTATTCTCTTATTTATTAAAATAAATCTAAAAAACTTGTAAATGAGAGAAAAACAGGTAGTCATGAAATACTAAAATATGATTGTTTTGGCACCAACATTATAAGTGGACCTTGTAAAGTAATTAAATACCATGGTACGTGAAATATATGAACCCAAATATATGAATATGACAAAGTACAGTCATTTTTTGTTAGGGTACTGTTTTACACATCACTGTATTTCATGTTGCTGTATAAATAATGTCTATTTACAAAACAAAAGTAGTTGCAAAAATGTTACAGAATACTCTGTACTGTATTTTGGTGAATTGTAAAATTTTAGTGTTTTCTTCAAAAAAGTATGATTTTGGTATGTTTTATTCTCATTGACAATTAATCAACTCAACTTTCTTTAACTTTAAAGGTGTTCATTAATGTTTCTGCAGTATATGCATGTAGATGCTTGCTATGATGAAGCTTGCCTTGACTTGTGATTTATCCGTGTCTTTAGGGCAGAGCATGGCTACGGGTTGCACTGATGGAGAAACGGCTGTCTGAATACATCGCCACAGCTTTGCGAGATAGCCGCACCACCAGGTCAGGCTGAAAGGGAAAAACTCAGTATTAATCAAACCACCAATATGATTCTTTCACGCAGTCACACCCAGGAATCATTACACATATCCAGTTTAAACATAACAATGTAGACAGCCATTATGAATGTTACACTGTCGAATACATAATATGGTGCATCTATAATGTGATTGTGTTTGTTTATGTATTGCATGTGTATGTTTGTCTACAGGAGGTTCTACGATGAAGGTGCCATAATGTTGCGAGAAGAAGCAACTGTTTTGACCGGAATGCTCATCGGACTTGGAGCGATTGACTTTAGGTAAGAGGATGGGTAATGGAAGGGGTAATAAAATCAAGCGTAGCGTTAGTTCTGGCAGGTCACGTTAGTCAGACTCGCATCAGCTGACTCTCAGCTGATCCCCATCAACCTATGGGAATACGACACCTATCTAAGTATCCATATATAAGGTCCCGCAGTAGTATCAGCCGTTTCGCATTGCTCAATAGCTAATTCCCCTCCTCCATCCCCAACTCCTCCTCTGTCAGTCAGGATTCAGCCTTCTGATTCTCCTTTGAATCAGACTAATTCTAAAATGTGTACATAACATTATTGAACTTTAACGATATCTGCAATACATTTATGTTGGTTCTGTTCTGTTTACCCTGGGGGGGTTATCGCTGCTCTCCCTGCTCTCATCCATGCTAGGCTGCATGGATGCGCAGGGAGTTCTTGCCCAGAACAGAACCATACCGCCAATCCAAACTGTATGCTAATTGTCAATCATCTTTGACGATAGTGGTCCTGACAGAACTGAGGAATACAAAACACACAAGCTATGTTTCAAAACCATCTGAAATGGAACCTCGTAAGTGATTGATTTGGAATGTTTTACATAGGCAGGAACTCTGCACACCACACTCATGTAAAGCATATGATACTTTAATGCAGGTTTTGGAGCCGAGCTATAATGTTATGCAATGTAATCAATGTTGTGTAATCCTTGCTGTTCTGTGTTTGTTGACAGTTTCTGTTTGAAAGGGGAGGCTCTGGATGGGAAGTCTGAGGCTGTTATTGACTACACTCCATATCTGAAATTTACACAAAGGTGAAGATCATTTGTTTCCTACAGTACAACACAGTTTCATACAGGGAATGGTGTGGGTTTCAATGTTTAGATTGTATTTACATCCCTCTATTCTAGGGGTGCACAATTAATCGTATTAATGATTATGCATAATCATTGGAAATATTGTCCCTCTGGTTATTTATTCCGAAAACATTGTTTTCATTTGACATTTCTGTTAAGTCGCATTGGTAGCACACCTCCACATGCTTGGGGTTGCCAGATTTTAAGAGTTTAAATCCCCTTTCTCTTAAATGGATAAATTCTCTGCCCAGTGTTTTACTTAATCTTCCCATTCATTTTTTAGAGAAGCCTTTTACGGTTTTGCCATTTTTTTTGTAATGTAGAGAGTGTGTTAATGTATTTGATAAATATAATAAATCAGGATAGATGAGGAAAAAATAAACCCTTGTGTATTATTTGACAATCTCTTGACTTGTGCTTATGTGAAAGTGCAATAATTCTGATGTTAAAGAAATATCTCAAAACGAAAACAATTGTGATTAATAATTGCAGTTATATTTTTGGAGCTAAATTATCATTATTATCAGTTGTAACCATTATTGTGCAGCCCTACTCTATACTGAGAATTGGTCCCTAAATTGAAGTATGACCAAAATTTCTTTACTATTTATGTGACTATGTCAAAAAATACTACTACTACTGTAAATCTCACCAGAGCCTTGCTGAATTCAGAATAAGTGTAGTATAGAAAGAGCACTTTCAGAAGGACAGAAGATTTTGATACATCCTGATTTTTGTTTTTAATATAAATATCTGATCATGTTAACTAACACGATTTATTTTAAGGATTTCTTATAATATTATATAAGGTATTATAATATTACGTTTCATGCATATGTTTATCTATATGACGTATTGATTTATGGTCTGAGGACAGGTGGTTTTAGGGGTTGTGATAGATGATGTTATGCCATAATTGTAATAAAATAAGAGTAAATACACTGGAAAAAATGGTAACATAATAATGGTAAATAAACTATCTTAAGTTCACCAAAACTACTTCATATTGGTTAAATCATGTACAAATAGCTCTTTGAAGTAACAATTGCAGGTTGGCACTGCAAAAGCAGTGTAAAATGAAATGTCACATTTTGCATTTAGAACATTCTAGTGATCATCTCTGATTCATTTCAAAGTGTTGCTATTTTAAAAGTAATGGCTGCTAAAAACAGTGGCATATACAGTATCTCAAGAATCTGTGACACACACGTACATAATAAGTCCATAATATGTTTTTGTCTTCAACTGTATCGCAGGACAAGTCTGATTCCAGGCGAATCTCATCCCCTCTCTAAGGATTTGTCAATTCCTCTTGTTAACCAATGGCCATCTCTCCAAAACTACAACAACCAGGAGGACAGGAAACTGTACCACAGGTGATTAGCGGCTCCTTTTCATATGGGCTAAAAACTTACTGAAAATCCCAGTCAGTAGCCGACCAACTTGAATATTTCTTCTTTCAACTTGAAAATTCAATGGCAAATACTCTTATGCTGTTGCTGTGGGTCTGTTGTTGTCTTTTAGGGGTAGTTTTCCAAGCCCGGAACCACATATAAGCTTAACTACAGATTCTCAGAGGACAGAAAGGAAACATAATGGAAAAGCCTGGTGCACAGCAGGTACACCTTAAAATCCACCTACAACAAGCTGAATTTGGTACTGTAGCTTTGTTTTGACTTAGCTGTCAAGTTCAAGCTGGTTTGGGTAGTTGATCAACTGAGCTAATAGGTGTAAGGTGGTTAAACAGGTTTGTGAAGCATGGTAGCTAGTTTGTTGCTGGACCAAGATGGTGTACCAGCACTGTGTGCCCAAAAGTCTAACGTTGACAGACTTTTGACTATCAGTATGAAGTGTGGTCCTCTACAGCTTATTCTAGCAGGAACTACCCACTTAGACAGGAAGAGACTGACTTACCATATTGTGTTTACATACTGTTTGGTGTCACATTTACATGGAATGGTTGTTAATACAGTAGACAGGCATGGAAAAAACAGACTAGTTACCCATCATGGTAGTCCAGCTGAACAACCACCTAAACCTGCTTTGACAAGCCATTGACCTTCTAAAAACCAGCTACTATGTACAGCTACCACTTCAAACCATGAAATCACAACTGACAACTCCTATTTTTTATAGAACGTTGAAGTGTTTTTTTGTTGTTTTTTTAATAAATGAATTATCCATGCACATCATTATTATTTTTTTCATGTGCCCTCATAATCGGTCAACCAAATATCTTTCTCTCCCCCTCCAAAAATATATTGGCTGCATCTAAAATCGCATAATCTCTGAGTAGTTTCTTCTTTTGAATAAATACTTTGCTACCACTAAAAAAAGAATGTTCTGTATATGATTGTGTGTAGTGTAAATGTAATCCTGACAAACTACATTCACCATGTTGTTACTGTCACATGACCTACCAGCATCAGTTGTGTCACTTCACTGCCATTCATAAATCCTCTCCTGTAGCCTCATGGGATAGTAAAGTGCCTATCTGATCAAAGTCCCTTTAAAGGGATAGTTCACCCAAAAAGGAAAATTTGATGTTTATCTGCTTACCCCCAGGGCATCCAATATGTAGGAGACTTTGTTTCTTCAGTAGAACACAAACTAATTTTTTTTAACTCAAACCGTTGCAGTCTGTCAGTCATATAATGGAAGTGAATGAGAATCATGGCTTTGAGAGTTAAAAAAACATACACAAACAAAACCAAATGAAACCCTGCGGCTCGTGATGATACATTGATGTGTAAAGACACGAAACGATCGGTCTGTGCAAGAAACTGAACAGTATTTATATAGTTTTTTACCTCTGATTCACTGCAATGTCCGAACTGTCCTGAGCGCATTCTTGACGCATCTTCTTCTTCTTCTTGTTTTATGACAGACCGCAGACTTATAAGTGCATTACCGCCACCTATCTCTCAAATGGACCATTGACACTCGCTAATGCTATTATTGGTGTTCAATAATAATTCCCATTTCTTCCATTTTCATTTCAGAAAAAGAATACACTTCCTCTATGTTAGGCCTGTGTGGTTCTCTGTCCTCTTTACCCAGCTGTAAGTCCCTGCCAAGCCTGAGGTCGACAGAGTGCCTGGTAAACATCAGCGCAGAGCCCAGTCCTGCTCTAACCCCTAGCTAGGGACCACCAAATGAGACCAATACAAGCAGAGAGAAACTGCACTGTCAGCTAAGACATCCAATGATATTATGGCTCAGCTGCAGCCTGTGTAACACCTGTTACACTGATTCTCACAAAATAATCAGTGGTAAGATATAGCTAGACCTCTTTAGTTATGGTGAGAGATATGTTCCTCACAGACTTATCCTGTCAGAGCTTTTCAGATGAGTGTATCTCTGAATGTCTTTGCTGTTCAAACCTTTCTCCTGGCTTGTTGTGGTAACCAGTGAAGGCAAACTGTGGACTATGCACTGACTGACTTGAGACCTGAAACCAGTTTTCATTACAATTTCTTGTCTCAAAGCCCAACACAGCTTTCCCACATTCTGTTGCCCTTTAAAATCTCTTATGGGAACATACATACAAACAAAACCATACAGACACTTATAGCCAGAAATTAACCATGAAAAATGTGTGAAAGAAAGCATATTATAGTTACAAATTCGTATTTTGACATTATCATCACTTTATATTTTAAATTCTCACATTTCAACCATCTAAACATCTCTCCTCTGCCAAACAACATGCAAGAACTAAGAAGATAAACAAGAAGATGTGTATGTCTTTACAGTCTGCTGTACAATTACAGAGGTAATAAAATGAAAGACATTTCTGGAATAGCTGCCTTATTCCTCTTTTCTTGCCTCTTGAAGTAACTTTGAAGATGGGATCACTCTGCACATGATGGCAGTATACTATTGCTAAATGACTGACAGTGCTGGACGTGAACAAATGGACCAGTATATATCTGCATACTGTTGTATTGTTCTGTATGTTTGACATGTATTTGTCATCTGTTGTTGCATCATTACAATATGTCTGCAGTGTGTGGACCACTGTCATTTTCAGTATATTAGCAGAAGATTTGAAACCGTGCATTTATATATATAAAAATATCATATAAAACTGATAAGCTAGATTTCCCCCCTCCATTGCCAGTGTAATTGAAAGTCTGTTTGTTTGAGAATGTGTGTCTGTGTTGTCTTAGACAGCTGTTCACCCTCAATTAGCATTAAATAACTTCATTCATCGCACATTATTTTGTCATTTAAAAAGCCATGGGAAACTATGCTGTTTGTCACTTAAATCGCAATAAAACTGCCTTTTTTGTCCTAATGTGAGTCATAGTTGTTCACTCTGTGTTATGCATTTATTGAACTGAAAGCGCACTTCTGGCCTTCTCTGAAAAAAATGTGAGTATTAGCTAGGTTGTTCTTGGTGGTTGCCAGGGCATTGCTATGCTGTTGCTATGATGTTCTGAGTTTTTGTGTGTTGCTGTGTGGTTGCTAGGGTGTTCTTGGTGGTTGCTTGGTGGGACCAAGTCAAAAAGGCCTATGATATAAAATCTCACATAACTGCATAATGGCCTGTAGTCTCATATGGACGGAACACATTATTCAAGCCTACTCCAGATGTCAATGTGGAATTCATTACAAATGGACTTAAATTTAGGGTCACCATGACCCAGGGGTCAAACAAAGAACAAGTGTCAATTATGGGTCAAAGGTCAACAATTTTTTTCACTTTGGACTGCTGCAGTAAAAAAAACTTAACAGAAGTGTCTAAATGCAAAATGGGGACTGCTAGTTCAAAATATGCTTGCCAAAAAGATGTGACCTTTGATTGATTTCACAGCATGCAGCAGAGTGAAGCTGAAGAATGACTTTTGATCTTCAATATGACTATATTCTAAAAGATAGGTTTACAAAAGGCAAAGGGCAAATGAAAAGCCCTTCCTGTTGGATGAAGATGGGGTCAATGAAAGCATGTTTTCCTCAAGTGAAACTCAAAATGAAATACGCCAAAAAGCATTCTTGGATCACTTTATATCACTCTATGTCAAAGTCTCAAAAACATTCTTTGAAGGCTCTAAAATGTCTCATTTCTATTCCTAAAACTCTCTGCAACCCCAAATACCACAGATAGCAAAATATCATTTATTTTAAAGAAAGATAATACAAGTGCACTTTTCAAACAAACAATTGACAAATGTGTGTCAGTACACTGACCACAAAACAGCTCTTCTGCTAAAAGAACATAAGACAATAATTAATGTACATTTTCAGAAGGTGTTATCTCACACAATCTCCACCCTATGCAAACCACCACTGATGGAAAGTTATCTCCAACAACAATACATGCTGAAGACACCCACCCGGGACTGTACTGGCCAGTGCGCATGCGCAGTCCTAACCGCACGTCTCAGAAAGCTGATTGTTTCTATAGCAACCAGGACTTCTAACAGCAGCTGCAGTGAGGCACTGACTTTACCGATTTGTGATTGGCTCTTTTACTCAGAAGGTGGGGCTTCGTTCGATAGAGCGGCCATGTTGAGTGTTGCATTTTTCTCCATTCAAAACTATACGAGTGACACGTCTTGGGTATTCTATAGTCTTTGATCTGATGCACACTTCAGAATCTCGCTGGAAGTAGTAAATTACTTTTTGCCAACTGCTTGAATTCTTTGAATTCTGAAATGCTACTTTTTTAAATACTTTTTTACCTACTACATAGAAGGGAAGTATGCAATTTTGGATGCAGCCCTCTTCTCCTCTCTGTTGACATATGTATCTGTGTGAGGGCTGAACAATAATTCCTCCCCAACAACCTGTCACTCACAGTAGCAATTAGAAAACAACAACACTCCAACGATCTAATTTACTGCCAATGGGCAAAATCAAGTCCTGCCCACAGCCAATTCATTCTTACGTACATCACATTAGAGAAAAGACAATTGCTGTTTCATGTTGACTTTAATGGCTTAGTTCACCCCAAAAAATAAAATTATATCACAGTTTACTTACATCACATCATTGCAAACCTGTTTGATTTTCTTTTCTCTATGGAACATATTTTGAGAAATGTCACAGTAGGATTTTTTTTCTCCATATAATGGAAATCAATGGTAACTGAAATAGTTTGGTTACCAGCATTCTTCACAATACCTTCTTTTGTGTTCTGCAAAAGAAAGAAATGCATAGAGGTTTGTAATGACATGAAGGAGAGTAAATTATGTCAGAATTGTCATTTTTTTGGGTGAACCAACTAAGTTTGTTGTTCTATTGCTAATGCTATTTTTGGTGTTCAATAATAATTCCCATTTCTTCCATTTTCATTTCAGAAAAAGAATACACTTCCTCTATGTTAGGCCTGTGTGGTTCTCTGTCCTCTTTACCCAGCTGTAAGTCCCTGCCAAGCCTGAGGTCGAAGGCTCTAAAATGTCTCATTTCTATTCCTAAAACTCTCTGCAACCCCAAATACCACAGATAGCAAAATATCATTTATTTTAAAGAAAGATAATACAAGTGCACTTTTCAAACAAACAATTGACAAATGTGTGTCAGTACACTGACCACAAAACAGCTCTTCTGCTAAAAGAACATAAGACAATAATTAATGTACATTTTCAGAAGGTGTTATCTCACACAATCTCCACCCTATGCAAACCACCACTGATGGAAAGTTATCTCCAACAACAATACATGCTGAAGACACCCACCCGGGACTGTTACACCCTTGGAAGAAATATCACATATATATAGATATGAAATATGTCAAATATGTTGCTTTTCCTAGTTAAGTATGAATTAGCTCCCACTTTTTTTATATTAACGTATGGGATTCTTAGTATGTACAACAGACTGCACACTATTAAGTTGGCCAAGTATTAGCATACTTAAGTATTAGAATAGTTAGAATTTATTTTGTGTGTGTGTGTGTGTGTGTGAGTGAAAGAGAGAGAGAGAGAGAGTGTGTGTGTGTGTGTTTGTGTGTGGTTAAACTGAGATGAACTTCTGTGTCTCTGAGGAACACAATAGCTCTCGCCTTCCAGAAAACCCAGCTCCTCACTGACTACAGCTTCAACACCAAAGCCATTATTAAAGAAATTGACAAAAATCTAAAAGACACTCATGATGAATCTCTAAAAATACACTTTGACCTCCAAAATAAACTCCAATGCTACTCAACCCTAAACAGAACCACTAAATTTGCCAATTATTTATTGATTAAACCATTTAAAGAAAGACAAATCCTCTCCAAATACAGATTAAGTAACCATGATTTAGAAATGGAGCGAGGAAGACATAGACAAACATGGACAGAGCAAGAGCAGAGGATCTGTAGACACTGTGATCTACAGCAAATAGAGAACGAGAAACACTTTCTGCTGATCTGTCCTAAATATCACAATGTGAGGGGAACATTTCTCCCCAGATTTGAAGCCCTGATACCATCATTTTCACTTCTAAATGTATCCGCCCACTTCCTAAATGAATGAAAGATCCGACACAGAGCGTTTTGAGAGGCAGAAACCAGCGTTACTCGGTGTTGAGCAGCAAATAACTCTCTTAATTTTATAATCGTATAGTTGAATACGATTAATTAAGTATATCTTCTAGTTATCGGTCTAGTTAAGAAACTAGATGAGAAACATTTAGAATGGACAGATAGCTGGAAATAGACAGTTAAAGAAGGACACAGTCTACTAGTGACGCCAGAGTTTGTGAAGAGATGAAGATGTCCAGGAACAGATCAGGTCTCCAGCCTCTCAAAGCTACTGTTCCCTTCACGCTGCACAAAGCAGCTGGAGCTGCCGTCACAAATATCACTCCAGGTGAAGTATTTAATACATATCAGTAACTATCACACATGATCTGAACCACTGAATGTCTTTCTTGAAGATTAACAGGAAGTACATGTGAATCATTGAGTTTGCAACTGCATTAATACTTGTTTCTTTGTGTGAGTTTTGGTTCAATATACTTACCTGTTGATCAAAAATAGCCTTAAACCTATACACTTTTTTTTTTGTTGTAACTTTCAGGAGGGTGTACTCATTTTTGCAACACAAAATTGTATTACTTTGATAAGAAAATCTTATTTTGCTGAATAATTTTGGCATTCTTCTTTGGTAATTGATCAAGCAGGCTTGTTGGAATATTATATCTCCAAAGAACCCTAACATGTCTTCTAAGTAAAGTGTAATTGCTGAATTTGTTAAGTTTTACAGGGGGTGTACTCATTTATGCTGTGCACTGTACATTAAATATTTCATTAACCTTAGAATATATGTACATTTAAGGGAATTTAATCTTTCCACCCTGCAGCTTTCTTCTGGAATTTACTGGTGCATAGCAAGCAACACATCTTCATCATCGCCTTCATCATCATTCTAATATTAAGTATAAACATTGGCTGTATGTTGACTTTAAACATTTAATTTATACTTATAAGATTAATGGATTCATTAACGTATTATACTGTATGTCCGATATACAGTGGGGACTACATTAAACATCTGGGATTCTAAAGCTGGAAATAAAGACGCTGTCTATGGCGTCTTATTTAAATATGAAAACATACACAATAATTTATATAACCAGAAAAGTTTTTGACATATGGAGAAGAATGAATAAGAATATTTAAGATATTTTACTAATCAAATAATACAATTTGTGGCACTGATCATGTGAACTTCCAGATTTTCTTGCATCCATTGAAGCACAAGATGCTCTTTGAAACATCTCAGGTCATGCTAGAGAACTGGTTTTGTTCATATCAGCTCCAGTGTTACCGGACGGACAATCCAAATACTAAGACATTATGGAAATCATGCTAATCTTTACAGCTCAAATTGTTATTTTAATGATAATATAATTTATAATAAATAATTAATAGAAGCATTTTTATGATCTAAACCAATGAATAGTAAATATAACACAAAAGATAATATAGGATGAAAGCATTTCCCCCCCATTGAAGTACATGAAGAAATGAGCACTTGTTTTCTGTCCATGCAATTTGCTGTGATAATTTTGATTTCAGGTGTTTTTAAGCTTTCTTGTTTCCTCAGGTGATAGAACTCAAGCAGAGTGGCGTTTGCAGACTCCGATTCGGCACACAGTATCTTTGGATGCGATTGTAGGGTCGTACCTGCAAGGCCAGTGGCCCAAAGAGGGCGACGGACACGACAGGGAAGACAAATCCACACAGGTGAAGGGATTCCATCTTCTGACTAAATCATGTGGGCCTGAATCAAATTATAATCTTAAAATAAATTCTAGTCCCATATTACTGTTCAGCCATTAGTTGAGTTGAGCTGACTCACCCACAGTGTTGGGGGGGGTAACGTGAGTTATGCAATCAGATAACATTTCCCAAGTAACTAGTAAAGCAACGCATTGTTTTTAAATTTACAAAGAAATATCTGAGTTACTTTTTCAAATAATTAATGCAAGTTACTTTGTTTTCCCATTTATTTACTGTAATACTGACACCTTTCCTGTCCCCGTGTTGAGAGAAATTGGAAGTGAGGTGGAGAGACGTTTACTTTAGCCGGAGGCTTATTAATTTTCTCTTTTGGTGTTTACAGTTGCCAAAAATATATATATTTTTATTTTTTTTATTAAAAACAAATAAGCAAGCCCAGCCCGTGTGACAAAAAGTAACATAGGCTAATGCATTACTTTCCATAAAGAGTAACTAGGTAATGCAATTAGTTTTTTTTTTTTTTTATGGAGTAATGCAATATTGTAATGCATTATTTTAAAAGTAAAGTTCCCTGACACTGCTCACTCAGGACAGATGTTAATACCAGTGTAACCGGGGCCATGCAGTACCATGGTATATACCAAAAGTCTGTGTTACCCTCTGACATTATAATTTGCTCAAACTAGGTTACATCACAGTACAATCACTATGAACTTTATCCCTCAGCTCAGCTGTGAAGGGAAATGGGTGTATCAGCTTTTCTCATTTTTTAAATATCATCTGTTTTCTGTTCCTCATTATCTAAGCCAAAATTTGACTCTTCCTTTTGTATCATCGACTTAAGACCACTTACATTGTCAGGGGGTATCTCCTCATCCCCCACCACTACTTCTAGTAGTCAATGAACAATAAACTGGGTTAAGGGAATGTATTTTGACACGCAAAAATCTTACAAATTTCACCAAAAGTGCAAAGAGCATTTGGTGCTTTTTACACTAAGTGAAAGTAGCAGTATTTTCTTGCACTACGTAAGTGTAAATAGTGGCAGATGCTATTTGCACCTCAGTGTATTGTAGTACATTATAAAACAGCATATATAATAATAGCAACAACATATTCAGTGTATATTTATTTAAATCAGAAGTGGATACTGCTTTATGGAGACATTACTTGTCCCTCTCCCCAAAGCACACTGTTACACCTAACCTTAACCAAATTAAACCCGCTGATCAGTAAAGGTGTCTTTAGTCTGTAAAAGGAGTCATGGTTTCGAGTGCATAATATCGATAACAATATGAGCTGCACAGTCGACGTACTAGTCTGTACAGTCTGTATCAAAGAGAGGACAACATATCCCATTTTAATTATAGTATTATCAAGAGCATTTGGTGCTTTTTACACTAAGTGAAAGTAGCAGTATTTTCTTGCACTACGTAAGTGTAAATAGTGGCAGATGCTATTTGCACCTCAGTGTATTGTAGTACATTATAAAACAGCATATATAATAATAGCAACAACATATTCAGTGTATATTTATTTAAATCAGTAGTGGATACTGCTTTATGGAGACATTACTTGTCCCTCTCCCCAAAGCACACTGTTACACCTAACCTTAACCAAATTAAACCCGCTGATCAGTAAAGGTGTCTTTAGTCTGTAAAAGGAGTCATGGTTTCGAGTGCATAATATCGATAACAATATGAGCTGCACAGTCGACGTACTAGTCTGTACAGTCTGTATCAAAGAGAGGACAACATATCCCATTTTAATTATAGTATTATTGTCCTATTAAATACTCTATTTCCACTCTTTTTTTTATTATTAAAAAAAGCGAAATTCAGTATACACCATATTAATAAAACGTACTGTGTATGTAAAGATGAACCCATAAACGCAATGTGCTAAGTTTCACGTTAAGCATTTAAGCTAAACCATTTTAAATAAAGCACTTAAAGCGTAATTTAGCACGTTGTGTTGATATTCTGGGCTCATCTGCTTGCCTGTATATACTGTAGTATGCATCGTCCATAAAGTGTATTAATTTGATCTTTATTATCACTGTCTTGGTACATAAGGGCATGTTAAGTGTTTTTCACAATGTCTAGACAGTTTTATTAACCTTTGGCAAACTTACATTTAAGGAGGGATCCCAGCCATATCCAAGGATCATATCGTACTTGGGGGTGGATTATTTTGACATTAAATTTTTCAACCTTTCTCTTGCATGGAAATCTATGTCATTGCATGTCATGTATCAGTATGTCGCAACATATTATCGCAAAATTAGAATCCAATTCTGTTTGTATTATAGTTTAGGGAAGCACATTCTTGGCTGCACCAAAAGCTTCTAGATGCTCATAAAATTCAAACGAGTTCAGTGGTCTGCGGGTGAAGCCTTCAAATGCACTAAAGTGCCATATTCTGACACATGTACAAAAATGTTAGAGGAAGTGAGGAGGATTGCAAAAAGTAACAGGAAGAGTGGTTGTATCAAAAACGGTTCTGCTTTGAACACATGCTGGCCAGCTGCAAACAGATATCACACTTCTTAGGGTTATTACAGTTTCATTATCTCATTTCATTATGTATTATGGTTTTTAATTTCAGTTTAGTTTTAGATAGATATATGGTATTTTGTTATGGCTGTTGTTAGTTGGTTTTTATCCATTATAGCATACTGTTGCACCAAATTGTAGACCAGCAATCTGCAACATCACACACACACACACAGCACTTTATCAGATATACTGTAAAGTAAACTCACTTCAAAGTTTATTAGTCACATTAACAAGAATGCAGCATATTGCAGTACTCGCTTACAATGAAATGTGTTATAAATATCCCCCTGTGGCTACATTTACCAGTGTTTGTAATCCTTCATTCTCCACATTGGAGAACAACTAGTTGCAGATTAGCCACATTTTTCAAGGTTTATGGCATATAGACTTTGAAATATATATATATATATATATATGTATATATATATATATATATACCCTAAATGTCGTGCACAAAAAGCAAACTGTGGTGGGCTGTTTTATACTGTATGTTGATCAGTCTCTTCCTTCCTGTGTAATTTTAAATTTTTAAATATGTAAATTAATACCAGGCTTGGGAGATTGATTAAATCACACCATCCAGCATGAACTGAAAATATATGTATGTTTTGCTTTAATTTTTTTTTCATGCTAACTTTGACGTTTCCATCATTCGTAGGAGTTTGAATATGTATTATGTGCTTTTTAAGAGTGTTTAATTCAAATACATCATGGGGACGAAAATGTAGGAAACATATTCTCGCTGCAGCTAAGTAAACATAATAAAATGTATTAATGAAAATATTAGTGAAAAAGTTTAAAGTTGTTTATTGATAGAGCAGTTGTTCTCAACCACTAAGGGGCTCAGCAAAATTCCAGTATTTAAAAAAGGGATTAATATGCGATTTGTATTTCTTTTCATCACAACGAATAATGGTTAATTAATTGAATATCAACACTCCCAGTTTCTGTTGGAGTCAGCTGCAAACTCAGTTGGTTAAGGACTTGGACTTGACTTGGACCCAACAACACTATCTTTTAATAAAAAAATAAAATAAAAAAAAAGCGTAGACTAAAGGTATCAATAAAAGGCTTCTGTAATCAAACTAATACCAGTATGTGTTTTTCTCTCTTCTCAGTCCCCTGCTCTATTAATCCCACCTGCGTCATTGACTCGACTGTCGTCACGCTTGCGTCAAAGTGAAGAGAGACTAGATCTGGAGCTGGAGAAAGTCTTCACACATAATTCATCAGTTCACCACTGTGGAGTAGGTTTAGCACTGTTCACCATTTTAACTGATTGTGAAGACTGATTTCATGCAAATTTGCAAAACTGGAAACCTTCAAGTAATTGTAATATTGTGTGTATTTATTTATTTATTTTTTCATTTAGCTGTATGAGGTTCCTGATGGCCACAGGGCTCCTGTTCCACACCTGAGCTCCAGGAGTGGATTTCAGATTGGATCTTCCTGTGTAGCTTCCCTCTCTTCTTCTTCCTCATCCACATCTTGCTCTCCACATTGCCCTCTAGATCTCGACTCTGGTAGGTCTGTTTTTCTTCAGTGATGGAACGTCCGGTTCTTTTCCGCAAACCGGTTCTTTTGAACAGTTTGTTTCAATGAACCGGTTAAAAAAAAACGGTTCACCGGTTCTTTTACACCCTAATGTAATGATGTAATTTGTGATGACGTAATTATGTCAAGTCTATCGTCCCGGGCCGGGATGAAAATACACTCAACACATTCAAATATATAAAGTCAGTAATCATAACTTCAGTCAGTTAAAACATCATCATGATCTGATAAGATTCTTACAGTTAAGTTTGGCAAATAAAGCACCCAAATACAGGTAGTGATGTGCAAACGAGGATGTTTTACAAGTCTTGAAGATATAAAGTGAATAAATTAGTCTTCATCAGTGCAGAAACCATGATCCACTTACGATGCATAATCCATTATGTTATTAAATAAACTTACGTTTCACTAGATTGGCCCCCTCCAGGCAGTCGGTCATGTACTGTTTGGAAACTTTACAGTGAAGCACACATGCACAGTATCATCAGCTCATCTGTTCTTAAATCAGATGTGTCCAAAAGAAACCATTTCCAGTTCAGTGTACTGGTGATTTGAAAACCGTTGCAACCGATTCTATATTCGGGAATGAGATCGAGATTCGAGAACTGCGAATCAAAAGAAGCTGCTTGCTTCGCTCTCGCGGTTTGATTACATAATTTTTTGCTTTATATCACCTTTTCACCAATACCATGGATTATTTATGAAACAAATAAATGTGTAGTTTGATAGTTCCACAAACAATTAATTGTTAAAATAATTAACATGAAAACCCAACTAGACAACTTTTACTGTAATGCTTTTTAAACAACATTAAAATAGAAAAATAAATTTGTACAAATATTTCTGAACATTAGATGGTTTGATCTGTGTACAAATATTTATGTTCATGTTGCGCATGTAGTTTCTTGTATATACAGTATATATTTTGTATGCTATTATTCTGTTATTGTGTATTTGGAAAAGCACAATAAACTTTTTGTATTCCACAATTTGGTTTTTCTTTACAGTATTACAGCAAATGCTAAAATACTTTCAAGGACAAAAGTTAAGAGGAATATAGAGCAAACTATTATCTCTTGGTTAGGCTTATTAATCTGTCTAGACTCCCTGTTGCCAAGGGAGACTGGGTGTAACCTCAAAAGTCAAAGGGCATAAACTACCCCTTCCCCCACATAGCTGTACAGTGTGTTAAGTGTGTAAGTGCATTTTTTCAGCAATTGTTCTTTGTTAAAATTGTATTGTTTGAACACTCAACTGTTTATTTGTGAATGTGTCATCATTAACTATAATTACAGTACACTTGTTTCCTATTAAACATAGCATCTCAATTATTATGGTTTAACATCCCTGACCGAGATCATAAAAAAACCCTTTTGTCTATAACCTAAGAGAATCCTCAACTGAACACACAAAGTCCTTAAACACAGATACATTCATCTTTAAAAAAAATAAATACATAAATAAAATGAATAATACTTTAAAGATGTTTCCTTTGCTCCATCAGTTGTTTCAAAAATTGTAATGCAGCCGTGTATGATCGTTAGTACATGGCACGCTGCACACATGCTCAGTATATCAATATCAGCTGCTCTGGGTTGTGGCTAGAAAGCTAACAATAAATTAAATTTTCTACCTGTTAGATTGTGTTTTATTAACGTCTACACCTACCCCAATCCTAAACCTACCCCTTACAAGAATGCAAAAATAGTCATTGTTGTACAGTGTGAGAAAAACTACGCTATATTAATGTGCGCATGCCCAGTAGTTTTTGCTGTATCCCTTCTAGCCTTAAAGGTGGGCTAAGCGATTTCTGGTAGCCAATGTAGAAATTTGAAATCACCAAAACAAACACACCCCTACCCCAAAAGGGTCTTGCCCCTATTTTGATAGCTCCGCCCCACACATACATACGCAACCCAGGCAACGATTAGTTCTGTGAAACAAAGCAAAACCAATGTTACACCGTGTCTACACCGGACGCGAGTGGCGCGGAGCAACAAAATACTATGGAACTCCTTATCAGTGATGCTGTCTACACCATAGATATAACCTATATACATATCTATGGTCTACATACATGATTTTCAACGGTCGCTTTGTCGCGTCGAGTGTACTAGACAGACTTTAGCTGTTGCGGCGCAGACACAGTGTTACACACCTATCGAGAAGAAACAAAACAACCTCAGCGTCCGATCGCAGGTCTTCCGCTCCTTCAGTTCTCTCCAGCGCTGGAAAGCTGATCCGATATTTACATGGGTTCTTCATCTTGCCTTAAGCCTTCTTTTGTTCCACAAACGTTTTCCTCTTTTGTTTTTTATCCGCCATCTCTATCTATCTGTTACACACCTATCGAGAAGAAACAAAACAACCTCAGCGTCCGATCGCAGGTCTTCCGCTCCTTCAGTTCTCTCCAGCGCTGGAAAGCTGATCCGATATTTACACGGGTTCTTCATCTTGCCTTAAGCCTTCTTTTGTTCCGCAAACGTTTTCCTCTTTTGTTTTTTATCCGCCATCTCTATCTATCTATCTGTCGCTCGGCTCGGCTAATGTCCGTCCTGTGCACTGAACTCTTTCTCCTCCACATCATGAGTAGACACGCCCCTTACTGCTGATTGGCTACAAGTTTGTTTTACTAGTCGGCCCGAATCAGTTTTCGAAGGGTGCTTTCACACTAGCACTTTTGGTGCACACCCGGGTTCGATTGACGTCAGAGTTCGATTCGTTTGGATGATGTGAACGCTGTCTTCCAACCTCGGGTGCGCACCCGCGAACCGTACCCGAGTACGCTTAAAAAGGGTGGTCTGGGGTACGGTTCATGTGAACTCCGATACGGTTTGCTGCTGATGTGAACGCAGTCGTACCAAATCGCGAAAGTGAACCGCTAATAATGACGTATTATTTGATAAAATTGTGTGTTTCACTCACTTTCCTGTTGAGCGTGACTGACGCGCTGCAAACAGAGAGCTGTATATCTCATTTCTGTTCGCCTTCAGCGTTCTTTAGAGCATTTGCGGTACATTCGTAAGACAGATGTAAGTGCCGTTATGTACCGAAGCTTGGCAAACAAAATGAATGGTAAAAAAACGTAAATATATAAAAGTGCAGAGAGCAATGTTATGCATTTGCCGCCTTCTCCTGCACCGTTGTTACTTAGCAACGGGGTAAACAGCTGCTGGCTTGATGACCCAAATGAACCGCGGTTCAGACCCAAATAAAATAATATGAACGCAGTTCAGCGGGGACAGGGGGAGGGGGGAGCAATTGAGCTCTGGTTCGGACCAGGCAAGCGAACCAAGTGTGAAAGCACCCTAAAGTGTTTTTGAAAAATCGCTTATCCCACCTTTAATCGTGCTCGTTATCAGTTCTCTTTTCACTGCAGTTCAGTCAGTGTACTGTTGGATTAAATTAATAACTCCGGGATATTGGTTTATTTCAAGTCAGAGGGAGTGTCAGTCACATCAAAAAGTGAGTAACTTAAGTAATTTCTGGATTAGTGCTTACTGGAGACGCAAACGGTTTCAAACGATTCATTCCAATTTGTTGAACTGGTTCGACCGGTTCACTAAAAACAATCGGTTCAATAGAAAGATCTGTTCGCGAACCGGACATCACAATTATTTTTCAAACTCTTGCTGATACATCACCATCATGGTGTTATTCCTGTCAAAAACTCAACTATGTATTAGGGTTACCAGACATCCATTTTCTGGAGACAATTTGGTTTTCGGTGCCCTGTCCCCGGAAATATCCCTGTTTTTTTAGCACATTCAAAACACCCTGCAAAAAATCCTGACTAACATACCCTGCTGGTTACCAGGGTAATTGTGTAGTGATTATTTTCACCAACAGAGGGCTGCAGTCTACATTGATTAAATTAATGTAATATTGTTTTACTGTTTGTACAGTATGTACTATATATCCTGAACAGAGTGGGGTATTGTTTTGCATACAATTTTAAAACATTCACAAAAGTTCCGCTCAACATGCTTCATTTGGGTTACGGAAGTCGTCAGGATCCAATTCTGGATCTAATATATATGGCTGGATCTGAATTTTAGACATAGTTATATGACATAGCTCCTGTTTTATTTATGTCAAAGCTTCGCGTGCTCGTAACTCTAAAACTCCGCCCACGGCACGCCTCCAGGAGCTCGAATGTTTTCAGAGAGAAGTGTAAAGCTGTATCTGTCTTATATAAATTTGATAAAACTAAAGAATCTTCCGAGATATGAAGGATGCAATACTACTCTATAGGCAGAGGCGAACCAAGATGAAGTGGGGGCCCCAGGCAAAATTAATAGATGAGGCCCTTCTAAAAGATTTTGTTAATATATCTACGTTACCTAGATATATATTTATACAACATACAAAAAGTAGTTAAAACACATATAATAGAACATAAATTGTGAACAGGCTGAACTCAAAATAAAACCCAATTAAAGTGTCTCTGTCTATAACATAACATGACAACAAGAAGAATGCGCACGCGGACAGGAAGTACAACAAATTATTATTTTGTGCGCACGATTTACCTAGAACGAGGGCACGAATTATTATATCAAGCGCATGATTTACTTAAATCGAGGGAATGAATGAATGAATAAATCGTGCGCAGGATCTAGTAAATCGAGGTAACGAATTAATAAATTGTGCCCACGATTAATTTTTTCTTGCATGTCATGTACAGGGCTCCATACTACACAATATGCTGCTGCTAAGTGCAACCATAGCTAACCTGTTTCCCAGTAGCCATATTAGTAATTGGACTATTACCAGTAATTCATCTTGCAAATAATTAAACGAAAATAAGCTGGAATTAACAACAAAAACATTTGTCTGTCATACAATTATCCTTAAGTCAATCTTATCTCCATCATTTACTGCTGTCATGTTTCCTCTTTTCCTCCTCTTCTTGCTTTTTTCTGCTTCTGGCTGCCAGATGGATAAGTCCTCTTCATGTTTAAATGAGCAAATGCACGAGTAAGCGCTGTGCCAGTTTGAAAACGGAGGCCGACGCATCACGAGGAAAAAACAAGCACATCCAGCGTAACGCAAGAGGAGGCCCCTTAGGGGGGATGCAGATATATTGCTCCATGTTATATTAATAATGACATTTCCGATTGTTCAAATGGTCAGCTGTCGGGGGCCCCCTCAAAATGCGGGGCCCCAGGCAATTGCCTGCCTTGCCTGCCCTACTGCTACACCTCTGTCTATAGGTACTCAAGATTAAAGGGGTCATATGATGCGATTTCAATTTTTCCTTTCTCTTTGGAGTGTTACAAGCTCTTGGTGCATAAAGAAGATCTGTAAAGTTGTAAAGACTAAAGTCTCAAATCCAAAGAGATATTCTTTATAAAAGTTAAGAGTCAGCCACGCCTACGTAAAAATGCCTCGTTCTAACACGCCCCCACATGTCTACGTCACGATGTGGGAAGATTTGCATAACGTTGCCCAAATGTTCACGCAAAGAAAGAAGTCGTAACTTTTATTCTCGCTGTAGTATTGTTGTTGTTGCCGCCGCAAGCATGTCGTGAAGGCGCTGTGTGTTTAGTTGTGAAAGCGAAACTACTTTGTTTGGCCTTCCAAAAGAGGATGATATCTGCTTCGTCATGCCTGGAGCTGATCCGTGCTGGTCGCTGAGGAAGTACTACAACTTTGCGCTGTGGATCGCCGGATCGGCTTTCACCGTGGACAAAGCAGAGTCCAGCCCGGGGTCGTCACATGTGGTTGCCGCCAGGGCCATATTAACCATTGGGCTAGGTGGGGCTGAAGCCCCGGGGCCCGAGCAAGGATGGGGCCCGTGATTGGCTGTGGGGTAAATTGACTGGCACGCCGATCGCAAAAGTCACCACGCCCCCCACTTATTAGCACTGTTATTTATTTATTGCTTTTCCATAAATTCCATGCATTACATTTGAGATTGAAGCTTAAAGTCTGAATTTGGTTTACCAATCTAAAAATGGATTATGTATAATTATGTATAAAAAACAAGAGTATGTCGATATAACGAGAAAATTAAGTCGTTATAACGAGAAAACAACTCTCGTTATGTCGATATAACGAGAAAATTAAGTCGTTATAACGAGAAAACAACTCTCGTTATGTCGATATAACGAGAAAATTAAGTCGTTATAACGAGAAAACAACTCTCGTTATGTCGATATAACGAGAAAATTAAGTCGTTATAACGAGAAAACAACTC